CGAGACTTGAGCTATTGAGTGTGCTTAAAATGCTTAAAGTGTTTAAAAACTAAATTCACTTCACTCATCTTCATATCAAAAGGCTGGATTTAGTTTCTCAAAGAGCAGAGCAGAGAACGTTTCCTATCAAATCATTTGACCTCTATAGTACTTCATAGTAGCGGCAATGTCAACTTGTGTAGGTATTCCTGGCTTACTGGGTCCCACTTTAGAAAATGGAACAGATCAGTGAATTCTGCATGAACACATTATGAATGCCCACCATTTTATTAGTCTCTGCTGTAATCAGATTTTCTAATAATCCCGACAGGCTAGAAGCCGCTCAACTTTCATATGTGTTTTATTGGATTTTTTGAATTTGAGTTTACCATTTTCTAGAATTGAAAGGATATCCACCAAAGCCATCTCCCCTGCTCAAAAATTATATACCTGCTCAGATTCCACCAACAGGCCAATTATTTACATTCGGCTAGTGCATAGTAAGACAAACCCCAGGGAGGCATTGCACTACTGGAAGATGGCAGTACTCCCAGTAGACCAGTAAGTACAAAATATTGGTGCATTCTACTAAATGAAGGAAGGGATATTTGGGTTACATTCGTCACTGTTTTTATGGCCCAAACAGACAGTAACTATGAAAACTAAGGAAGGATAATCAAGGTCAACTGTGTGTTTTATAACTTAAAACCAGGTTGCAGCTCTGTACACACACGCCCAGCCCGATGGCTCAAGACTGATCTACGTGTAGCACAAATGGAGAGGAAATGGACCTTATTAACTGCCGAGACGACGATGGAGAGCCTCTCTCGGGCTGAATTGTGCCGTATTGCGACATAAGGTGCATGTGCTGAATATCAACTCCCAACCACACAAGCTGGAGTCTTTCTCCCAGCCCCTTTTAAATGTGACAAATTTGCCCAGACCCCCTGATTCATGCGCTCTCTCTGCGACTGCTCCCCCATCTCTGTGCAGCTCATAAATCCCCGGTCGTACCACGGGTGAATTTGTCACATGACTCCTTACAGTGGGCCGCTACCCCTTAGCGCAACAGTCTGCCCTGCCTGACAGTATTTCACGAGTCAAAGACCAGCTCTGGAGGCACATCAAGTGATTTATGCATTTTAATTGGATTGGCTTCACAGCCCCATGCTGAGAAGTGGTTCTTTGAGGTGCAAAGGATCGACTCTCTGCTCACTTTCCCCTCTCACACTTTTCAGAGAACTATTTTAGGAGCTTTTTGGCTTCTTTTGCAGTGTGTCAGGGTACGTAAAGGCATATGTTATTGTCTCAATGAAAGAGGGGTATGACAAATCAAATGTGACTCGTCCTGCTAACTAACAGATCCTGAATGACTGCGCCTGTCTTACAGCACAGCAAGTGCGATTCAGAGTAAATTACATCTGCCCACTCAGAGACCTTCACACAGATTCCCATCTCTGAGGTTTGTCGGTTTAAAGATAGGTGCTGAAGCCCCGCAGATCACATAATTTGCCATCCTGCCTGGACAAAGCCCCTGGTAAAAGGGAACCTTTAGAGAAGAGACATCGTGGCTGGTGTTGCTAAGGCATTATCTACCTCTTAGAACAAAAGAAAAAAGAGAATCATTCCACAGTAAATCCATCACCCAGGTGTAGATACACTCTACCCTTTTCCCCTTTGTTCCTATAGCTTTACCTATTTTTCTCGCCTCCTCTTCTGCTGCTTCTGACCCCTCTTCAGTCGAAGGTGAGATGGTGATGGATAGAGCCTGCAACCACTGCATCCCAGGAGATCTCAGGGCCCCCCCCCCCCCCCCCCAAGCAATGCACTATGGCCAGCACCACCCCACTGCATCTTCATCACACAGCGGACCGAGGACAGACTAATGCACCAAACAAAACACTGCAAAAGCATCCGAACCCAAACACTGACATCTGTTGCCACCTACTGCATACACACCCTTATGGGGGCTTAAATCAGGCTCACTTTGATACATATACACACAGATGGCTGCTGTATACAACATATTGCCACCACCCATCCCACCCCACCGACGTATACACAACGGCTCATCAGGCAGGAAAATCAAAAGCCCGCTCTCCCCAGACTCAAGGAGCACTGCGGCTGTTATTGTACCAGAGCCTGGTAATGATCAGCATCTGTTCCCCTCTCTGGTAGCATTAGCTCAGCTCCTGCTAAAGAAGACTTTTGTGCAATGCCTTTACTGTTAGGTTTTGTTTATTTTTTTCCTGGTAGTACCCTAATTCAGTGAAATACGATGCTTGTTTAAAAGGCATTTTAGCATTTTATTTTGTGATGTTACTTCTCAGCGCATGCAAATATTTTCTTGGCTTCATCCTATAGCTCAGACTCATACATAACTTTGCTGATTTCCAAAACTGCAAACACAGCTTTTTGTTTCCAACAGCCACGCTCCGAGCCTGCCAACTAAAAACAGTGGGATGAGAGAGCTTCACCCAGTTAGGAGGGAGTTCACATTAAAGTTTCGCATGCGCTTCCTTTCACTGCCTCACGATACGTTTGAAATGTGTGTTTAAAGGTAATTGATCCTCGTTGTCTTGGTCAGTTATAAGGAGGTTGGCAGATTTCTTTTAAATATTAACAATGACCTCCGAGGCATCGACCTGCAGCCGTAAAAAGCCAAGACAGAATAATCTGATCGAGATATTTGGGACGTTGTGACATCTGATGCCTGTGACGTGTTTAAAACGATGTTGAGTTTTCCTCACAGAAAGTAGTCTGTTTCTCACCACCGGTAGTGTATAATAAACATAAAGAACTATGTGTACCAACATGTACAACTTTGTAATACTGCACACCACAGAAGACAGAGGGGTGATAATGTTTGGCAAAATATCTTGTGAAGCACTGGATGGATTTTATAGCTTTCATAAAGTCATTAATGGATACACTTCTGCAACTGATTACTTTTTGTGTCAGTCCAAGTCAAAGTGGTTGCCACAACTAAGCAACTTAAGCAAATACAAAAATGGCTATAAATAGTTCTGTTACGCAGAATTTGATTTGAAATTTGTTTCAAGTTCAAGTCAATTTTGTCATTTCCATCACATGGTACATGAGGTGGAGCAAAATGTTGGTCTCAGTTACACCCCAAAATAGCAAAATATAAAGCATAAAAAGAAACAGTATATAAGGATCTAAGATATACGCTAAACAAACACCAAATGGTACACTAAAAGATCTGACACATATGTCAAACTCAAGGCCTGGGGACCAAATGTGGCTCTCGTTGACATCTTATCCGGCCCCCAAGATGATATGTAAAACGTAAAATACTTTTTTCACTTGAATTTTTTCAGTTATCTTTGATTATGATGTCAAAAGAGACCAATCAGACTCTTGTTGAGGAACCTGCAACCAAGAAAAGATGTTGGGTATCTAACTTGAGTGAATGTAGATTCTGAAACCGGCCCTCAGTTTGAATTATTATTTTTTTTTTGCCCCCATTTGTAAGTGGGTTTGACACCCCTGATCTAAGATTTACGATAAACACTAATAATGTAAAACAATAAGTCGTAACAACAGCAGCCCGAGCAAGAGTCTGTGGTGAGCAGATGGTATGAATGAATACAGCAGCATGAGAGAATCAGCAGCATGACATAATCAGCAGCATGAGATCAGCAGCATGGATAATCAGCAGCACAGATAAGTCACATATCACCAAATTAAAGTGGCATTACAATATCAGATTTATTTATTTTTTTTGTGAGTATCTTTTTTACGGATTTATGAGTCTTAGCAGCTTCAGGTAGAAGCTGTTCCTGGTGTTTAAGTAGCTGAGAGTCGTCCTCAACCAACTCCAAGAGCTAACACAAGTTGATCTCACAATATGACTTGACTTTAAACAAAATGTTATGTTCAAGATTTGACTGTAATCTCATTCTTTCTCAACACAACATGAATTTAGTTTAAAGTTGTGAAATGAAAGGAAGCGGGTGATATGCATTTCTTCAATAAATGCTAGGCCTAGTCATTTTTTTTTTCAAAAATTAATAAATGTAAAATTAACACAGTCACAGAAAAACTGCTCATATCATTCACCAACAGCACCGTAAAGTACAAGTTTTGGATGCTGAAAATAAAGATTTAAATGCTTCCTAATTGTCCTTTCCATAAATTGTAAGCGTCCTAACTAATATGGGTCTTTGTTTAGACATAGAAATGCATAAACAGATGTTTAAAATATGCTTTTATGTCATAAACCATGTGTTCTAAATTCTAGAAATGTCTTATTTTGCTTGAGTTTTGTATATTATGAGAGCAAGACCATGTTATTCTGTAAGTTCTGCTCCTATTGAATAAAAATATATTTTTTTCTGCTTCCTAAGTGCACATGAACTCATTTAAATGCCTTCATTGTTGAAGCAGAGCTACTGTGTCTTTATTTATTTTTTTACCCTGTAAGCTACAAGTTTATTGTCAGCAAAGGGCTTTTTAGTCCCCAAAACTGGCTGTGATCGGTAAATTACAGTCTGAAAAAATACAATTTATCTAAAAGCAACAATGAAAGATATTGCCCATGTTATGCTTTGATTGAATTCGTGTTGTGTCGGCCTCGGACACCTGTGGCCCGTTGGGCTGCTCACTTTGTTTCACTTTGTTGCCAGACTAAAATGAAACAACAGGGGGGCATTTTAAATTGATTCACACCAACTAATTTATGATTCATATCTGCCACCTGTGGCTTGGTGTAGTGGTTTATTGGAGAGCTGAGTGTCTGCACTTTAGTACCAGAAAACAACAGTGGGAATAAAAGCTTTTAGATTGTTTTCATTTTATAGGTATTTCATTATTCTAAAAAAAAAAAAGCCTGTTTCGTCTGGTACTAGCCGTACATCTGAATCTTATAGTTTAAAAATGCATACAGAAACTGTCGTTTTTTTCCTAAATTTGTAACCCAAAACCTGATTTCTGGGCAAAAAGAATAAAAATATTCCCCGAGGATTATCTGTTGAGCACTTTGGTTAACTCTGTTGCAGAATTCGGACCCTGTTCACGACATGCTCTTGGACGTCATCACCTGGGTCGGCATCCTGCTTTCTCTGGTGTGTCTGCTCATCAGCCTCTTCACCTTCTGCTTCTTCCGTGGCCTCCAGAGTGATCGCAACACCATCCACAAAAACCTGTGCATCAGTCTGTTCATTGCCGAGTCCCTCTTCCTGGTGGGGATCAATCGGGGCGACCAGCCGGTAAGAAGAATAGAGTAAAATACAATAAAAAAGAGGCTTATAAAGTGCTAGTTTATGCTTACAGTTGCAATAATTCCGATTGGACTAAAAGTTTTTGTTTTTGTTTACACATTTTTTTTATATAACTAAGAAACTTTAAATTTAACTTGAAACAATAGAGCATGTTAATTATTAACTGGGAGTGGTGGCGTAGAGGTTAGAGAAGGTGGGTCTGTGATCAGAAGGTCACCGGTTCGACTCCCCGGACCGAAATCAAAATGTTGGTGGAAAACACACCAGCCTCCACCCTCATTTGCCCAATCTGGGCCCTTGAGCAAGGCCCTTAAACTCCACCATCTGCGCCCAAACAGGTCTCTCTTGAAAATGAGACCTCGTGACTCAATGTATAAATAAAGGTTAAATTAAGAAGAATAAAAAAATAAGCAATGGAGGTAATACTGTGAGTGATTTTTTGGTTTATTTTGATTCAAGCAACCTTGTTTTTGTCATTGTATTTGCCTCTTAAAAGTTGTTTTCTAAAGAAATCGATGTTTCTAATTATGTGCGTTAGTAGGTTTAACTGAATACAAAGATAAAACAATCAAATCAAATCAATTAAGTTTCTAATCTAACAAAAGGCAAACAGTTTATTACTATTTTGACATGCTCTCAAAATCAGTTCAGTCGACCAAGTTATTAGAAAAAGTGTCCATTTTCATTTATTCAACCTTTATTTATACAGTTTAATCCCATTGAGCCTCGAGGACTCATTTACAAGAGAGACCTGAATTTTTAACAAAGAGTGACAACAGTGGACAAAAAAATTAATAATATATATATAAAATAAAGTAATAAAATAATAATAATATAAATAGAATTTAAATAGAATAAATATTAAATAAAGTTGTTTGCATGCAGAATTGTTTTACAATACATAATGAAGAGGACAGTGTCAAACATATAACCCTGTTATAAGCACTTTGATAACAGGTTCTGTTTTAAATGTGCTCTATAAATAAAGTTGACTTGACTTGACTTGTTACTCCAGTTTCTGAAGATATATCAACACAGAACATTATAATAAAAAAGGTAGGATTTTCTTTTTAAAAAGGGTAATTGTCTAGCTTCAGCAACAACAAAAAAAAATATATAAGGGGAATTGTAACTCAAAACCACAAACAATATGTAAAATATTCTAGAATAATTGAAAAAGACGAATAAGCTTTCATTTGTATTTTTTTCCAAAAGGAACATGTAGTGTTGTGTATCTCTGATTTGTGAGAGGATACACACACACACACACACACACACACGCACGAGTTCATCTTAATTACAGTGCACAAGTTGATCAACAATGAGCGAAGCACACATTCTGTGTTTGTTGCTGTTTTTACAGACGCTGCTGCAGTTCTCCTCTTAAACTGCAGGTGGCGCAAATGAGAAAACTGCGTTACAAAAAAGCAGGAATGCTCTTTGTAAAATATGTGGAACCTGTGTATGAGTGAGAGTGTCAACATGGAGGGATTGAAAAAGCACTATATACAGTATAGAATCAAGTTGCATCAATACAAATGGGTTCATATTCATATGAACAATATATAACTATTTACATATAATTCTTATCTAGCCCAAACACCCAGCTGTGATTCAAACATCTCTAAGTTAGTCTTTTCACTGTGTCATAAAGGAAAAGGTGCATTTGTACTGCCAAGATGCATCTCCCCTTAAGTTTGTCCACCTTCTTCACACTTCAGCCAAAAATGTTTTGTAGAAAAACTCATAACCTTTGGTGTCCTGCTGTGCTGCGAGTGAAGCTCCCCACTGAGTGTCAGCAGCCCTGGACTATTTAGATCCTTCTTGGCTCAGTGAAAAGAAACTCTGAGAGCAAAGAACTGTGGGTTATTTATTCAACAAAATCTACCTCCCATGGTTGTGCAGAAGAAAACACATCCTTCCGAATACACTACATACATAACAAAAAGCTGCCAACACACTCTCACGTTGACTAGATCATGAATCATTAATTCACCCCGAAAAATAAATTGTTTTCCAATTTGTAACCACTTCAGGCTAATCTGGATTAAGACCACAAGATACTAAAACCTTTGCTGTAGTTTGGATTGCCTTTATTTTCTGCAAAGAGCTCAGCTGTGGTAGCAGGTGGAGACATGTCGTCACTGCACAGTCATCTTCAGCTGTGTATGCTCAGCTCTCACACAGCAGACAAATGTGGAGTCATTATGTGTGTACAGCTCGGCTTTTTTCCACCTGCAGCTTCTCACAGTCCTGCCACTTTTGTGTGTTAACGAGGCAGACGATGCTCTTAGCATTGCAGTTTTGGATCAGACATTTGATTGCATGTAGCAGACAGTCATAGCACTTTAAAACTTATGAATACACAAAAATGAAAGGGATATAAATTATAAAACACTACTTTGTATCGTTAAAACTCATCAACATTTTCCTTTATGAACATAACTGTTGGAGCTAAAAATCACACATTATTTAAATCACAAAATCGAACTTCCAGTGAAGTTAAAGATTATGCTGTTGGCCTGCACCTTTTCCTCCCATAACGTTTTATGGCCCTGACTCAGAGCCCAGTAGTAGAATCGCTGTCCTGCACTGCAATTAATGTCCACTCAACCTTTTAGTTATTTAACCGAATCCATTTCAGTGACAAAATACCCCAGTTATGTTCAACTGTGCCAATAATTAGATCAACCCATGGAAGGGTTGTATCTTAGGGGGTGTTTGGTCATGTGAACGGCTGTTTGCTGTATTCACGTATGTGTGCTATACCATTTTATGTGCCCTCACCTGGCAGGCTTCTAGTTTCAAATGGTTTTTGGACTGTTGATTTCACTTCTTCATATTCTTCCTTCATCCAAGCCAACTACAGCAGACAAGACTACATGGGCTCAGTACCAGCAGTGTTCTACTGCCAGTCATCACAGGCAAACGTCCAGTCGGTTCGGCCAAACAAAGCTGAGCGGTGCTAATTGTTCGAGACACTGATATGACACGTTGGAAAACAGTGCTGGTTCCAGTCACTTAGATAGCTCACTTTGCTAGTCGTTCCCTTTAGAATAATAGCTACAGTCATGCTGGACAAAAGGGCTACCCTCTTACAATGATACTGTTTACATACCATAAAGTACAGCACCAAACACAACATATTAGCAGAAACACCGGTAACACTTTACAATAAGGTACACAAAATTTGATTAACTACTAGGGAACGGTTCAGGAACAAATCAGGCGCTAATGAGTAGCTAACCTGTACTTACTGGGGAACACACAGCCAAGCCTTTTTAAGGGATTACTGGTTTGTTATCACAGAAACAAACCAGTAGGTAATGGTCAGGTAGTGATTAAGTAATGATTGGTTCCTCAGTAAGTACTTGGTATGATGCTTCACTACATCAGTGAACAAAATAATATCCAGGCAATGATTTGGTACTCAGTAAGTGATAGTCAGACATAGTTAAGATGACACCAGTACAACATTATGAAATTGATAATGTCTTTTTAATAGGTTTATAAAAGAGAAAATCCAATAAAACCAGTAACCACTAGGAAACAGGTTTTTGACAATTACGAGCTGTGACCTCACTGGTGCAGGGTTTATTCAGAACCCACATGGATAATTTATCCTCTGTTACTGTAGTAACAAACCAGTAGTCCCCTAACAAGGCTTGGCTGTGTGTTCCCCAATAAGTACTGATGAACTACCCATTAACTCCTGATTTGTTCCTGAGGCTTTCCCCAGTAGTTAATCAAATTTTGTGTACCTTATTGTAAAGTGTTACCGAAACACCTAATTCCAAGTGTCAAGCATGGTGATGGAAGGGTGATGGTTTGGGCTTGTTTTTTCAACCATTGGATGTGGGTACCTTGCAATCACTGAATTGACCCCCAACTTTTCTGTAAACAGTAAGTTTACAATGAATTACAATGAAAAGCTTACCATTTCAGTGTCTTGAAATGGTAAGCTATCTGTCAGACACCTCAAACTTTGACCAATGTGAGCTGTACATCTGTTGTTACAAAACCTAAATGGTGTAATTTTGTTCTCTTTGGAGCTTCAACAGTATGTTCTCACCACAAGATCTAGTCGGTGTTTTTTTTCTGTCTCAAGGGTTTGCATCAGTTTTTGTGAGATTGACCAACAATTTGAAGTGGGGGGTGGGTAAAGTTCCATGAGTATAGTCATGGTCATGCTGGGAGTATTAACTACTTTGAGCTAACATTAGCTTCTGTAAGTCATTTTTTGCAGTATGACCGCAAATCTCTCCAGAGTAGAGTCTGGCATGCTGTGTGGGTGTTGCAGAAAGTACGTAGGACTTAATGGTCATTAAGACGTTGGATGACTTCCTGACATAAGATGCTGTTCTCTGGAATGGGGTTTCTCTTGGAGTATAAAATGTCCTTGCAGAAAAGACATTATGCTACGTCAAAAAGATCAGATTTATTAACTTCTTACGCCGTATAAATGAAATTGTACAGAGTTATGCAGAAACAAGTTGTCACAAGCCCCAGTGAACTAAATTAATGTTGTAAAGGAGAGTGGAACAAAATTCATCCACAACCACGAGAGACTGATAAAGTCATACAGAAATAGTCTACTTCAAGTTGTTGATGCTAATAGTGGTTTAAAGCTGCCTAGTCATGGGATAGACGGGTTTTTTTTTCACAACTCTCCCATTTTTATTTGGTTTTGTAAACTTGAAGTCAAATCTGAATATGTTGTTCAACCTGTTCAACACAAGATCATTTTTGTCCTGAGGCTGGACTTCCTGTGTCCCATGACTGTAATCCCTCAAGAAAAATGACACTTCAGTGTGAACAGTAACACTCCAATCACTCTTTCTTTTCTTTTTTGCTGTGTGTCTCTGTTACCATAAAACTTCCCCAGATCGCTTGTGCCGTTTTTGCCGCTTTGCTCCACTTCTTTTTCCTGGCGGCGTTCACCTGGATGTTCCTGGAGGGTGTGCAGCTCTACATCATGCTGGTGGAGGTGTTTGAGAGCGAGCACTCGCGCCGGCGCTACTTCTACCTGGTGGGCTACGGAGTTCCCGCGCTGATTGTGGCCGTCTCCGCCGCCGTGGACTACCGCAGTTATGGAACAGATCGAATGTAAGTACATTTAGATTTCCACGCTTAGTGCAACGAGTTAGGCGAGACATGCTACTTCACTGGATTTAAAACAATGTGTTTGTGAACTCAGTCTCTTAAAACAGTGTAACCGTTTGGTTAAAATGAGGGATACTAATTCTCATTTTACCTTAAAGGATCAGCTAAAATATTTATTTTTAGAAATATTGTCTCAGTTTATTAGACAGTAAACCAAGCACCCACATTTTGGCTTATATCTATTTTTCTGTACCTCTTCTGTCAGCCTTGTTTGTCATTTATTTCTGTAATTTATTTAACTTTAGTAAAGAAACGGAGAATCAGTAACTACTTGTCCAGAGAAAAGTTTGAGTGTTTTCAGAGCCTGCTAACAACATGAAAACTGTTGGGTGTTGGTTTGAAGAGCTTTAATAAGCTTACAGACAGTGTTCCAGCAGCTACTGCTTACAGTCGGCTGTTAATAAAGCGGAGCGTTGCTCGTTCATGCGTTCATTTTTCTCACTGCTGGAATCAACGCTGTTTACACGAGGAAACAAAGCTAATTTCAGTAGATGGTGTTGTTGGATTCAGTTCAGGCTATCATGGTTAATGTTCAAGACCACAAAATACTGAAAAAAAATGAAACCGCATAAAATGAAGTAGGAGCTAAAACTGAGTAGTTAAAGCTACAAAAAGGCATAAAAGTGGCTAAAAACTACAAGAAGTTAAAGATTGGCTCAAAGTGGAAAAAGAAGCAGTGGTAGCTAAATTCCCAAAACAACAAAATGCTAATTAAAAGTAGCAAAACACTAGCTAATCTCTAAAAGTAGCAAAATGGTAGATAGAAACTAAAAGTAGTAAAACACTAGCTAAAAGCAAAAAGTAACAAAATATTAACTAGAAGCTACAAGTAACAAAATGGCAGATAAGAGGTAAAGTAGCAAAACACAAGTTAAAAGTAGCAAAATGGTAGAAGTTAAGTACCAAATTACTAGCTAAAGTATAAAAGTAGCTAATTACTAGCTAAAAGCTAAAAGTAGCAAAATATTATCTAGAAGCTACAAGTAGCAAAATGGCAGATAAGAGTTAAAGTAGCAAAATGGTAGAAGTTAAGTACCAAAATACTAGCTAAAGTATAAAAGTAGCTAATTACTAGCTAAAAGCTAAAAGTAGCAACATTGTAACTAGAAGCTAAAAGTAGCAATATGGTAGATAGGAGGTAACTTAGCAAAACACTAGCTATAAAAGTATCTAAATAGTAGCTAGAAGCTACAAGTAGCAAATAGCTAACAAATAGCAAAATGGTAACTAAAAGCTAAAACTACTAAAATAGTAGTTAAAAGTAGCAAAAGGCAAGCCAAAAGCTAATTGTAGCAAAACACAAAACGCAGCAAACTTTAGTTTAAAAAATATTAACGTATCAAAAGACTATCTTAAAGTACATTTGCTCAAAGTGTCAAAAGCTAGTTAGGATCTAAATGTAGTGGTATGCTAGCTAAAAAGTAGTAGAACGGTAGCTAAAAACCAAAAGTAGCAAAAAATAATAAAATGGAGGGCAGCTATCTTGAAGCCGATATCTCATAGATTTTTTTTATGAGAAAAAAATATTTGTGAATAAAACTGAATATTTTGAAAAGTACAAACATTTCAAATATCAAAAGTCATATCACTCATCTCCTGAATGAGCCGAACATTTTGATTCATGAATGGCTAAAATAGCAGAAGTAGTGGGATGGATAGAATATACAGAAACACAATAGTGTGAACGCAGATAAAGGTTGCATGAACACAGAGCTAGAAACAATGAAAGAAAAGAAAACGATGGGATGTCACAGATGTTTTTGTTTCCGTTTGAAGCTACAAAAGCAGAGCTAGTCTTCGGCTCTTTTCTCTCCGTGTGAAACACATTGCAGTCTATAAAGCAGAGGATCGCTCTCTGGTCCTCTCTGTTAATCTCCGACCCATCTGAAAATAATGAAGACCAGCATCAGCAGTTTGCTGCTGAGATGTTTATCATGTATGCCACCCCCCACCCCCACCTCCTCACACAAACACACACACACGCTCAGGAGCTACCACACAACTGGTAGACCATTGCATTTGTAGATTGGCAGCGCAATAGTTCTCAGTGATGGATGGGGTGATAGCTGCCATCGCCTGAGCCTTGGCATCATGTGAATAATTAAAGCCTGCCACCGGTGGAACAATTATATGCTGCCATTGAAGGATGAGGCGAGGGATAGAGCGTGACACGTGGGGAATAGCAAAAGGTACCTGGTTGTCCCTGGTCCAAATTGATTCTTGGTGCTGGAGCAGGATGATCGTAGGTGGGGTCACTTTGAGGAAAAATGTCCACCATGTTGTTGGGACCTACCTGAGATAGACAAAGAGATAGATGTTCAGCTTGTAGAGCTCAGTTGAAGACGTTTTCTTCAGCTGAGCTCTGATCAAAGAGGAAACAGAGATTTGAGCAGAATTGCTATTAAAATACTCCCAAGAGTCACTTTAAATCTGAAGTAAAGAGATTTTACATACAGTACATACTACAGATCTTTAAAGTGTGGTTCTGTGGAAAAGTTACATGGTATACTTGCGTTCAGAAACATTCATTAAAATCTGTTTGGTTCTTGAGATATTTTACTATCAATCAACCTTTATTTATACAGGTAAATCCCATTGAGCCTCGAGGACTCATTTACAAGAGAGACCTGATTAGTTAAAACCAATATAGTTAATGGCAATACTTGAAAAATATATTTTGCACAATCTGCTACTGCTCAGGGTCAATATCTGTAAACATGACCAGATGAAACTCACTTTTGTGTTTTTAAGGTCTGTTAGCTGTGGCAGCCATCTTTAATTAGATTGACTCTAAAAGGGAATCCCTTGTAGACATACATTCAGTGATTAGTGTCTGTAAGTTTCAATGAAATGTGTCCTTCGTCTGGGTGGTCAAAACTTTAAATTGCAATTAGCTCTGAGTTTCATGATTATTTATAAAGCATTTTCATTGGCGAGCAGAAATGGTGACAGCAGCAGGTAGCTGTAGCACATCTTCTGTAGCATGAGATCCCCCAAGTAGTTATTTTTTGAAAATTGTTTTCTTTATGTATTTTGATTTTGACAGGTGTGTAAGCTAGTGGTGTCCCAATATTGATACTCAATATTGGGCCTGATAACAACCTCAAATACTCATAAAATGCAGACACTTAAGACCAATACCAATTTTAGTAGTGTTATACCTATCATTATATGAGGGCGCCCCGCCCTGTCAACAGAACCAAGCGCCCGCCTACCAAAATGACCTTCATCCACAACTCATCCCCACCCCCATCGACAACTGCCGGCACGGACATACCGCTAAGCTAGCTGTACGCAGTACAGATGCGCTAGCTAAAATGCTACAGATGTAGCATTCCGCTTCTCCGACAACTGCCGGCACAAATGTAGCGCTAAGCTAGCACACAACACACCCCATCAACAAAAATCACCAAAGTGATGAGCACCCTGCCAAGGCAAGTCAAATGGGGGAAACACTGAATTTTATACTTTGTGACATAATTTCCTCTTTCTCTTTGCAAGTAACCAAAACTAAAATAATAAATGTCTGTAGTTTGGGGACATTTTAAGAAAAACACAGGTGAAGTTAAGGCAGCAGACCATTTAATGTGTTCTTAAATGTGTTTCTGCAGTCAATGGGTCATGTTTTAGTACTAACTCATTAACTACTCAGTATTGGCAAGTACACAAATCTGGAGTCTTTGTACTCAGTCTGAAAAAAACTAATGTCAGAACACCCCAGTGTAAAGATTTATAAAACAGGGTTTGCAAGAACCATCATGAATGCATTTAGATTGAAGCCCCTTTCAGTTTTGCCCTGTTCGGACTATTGGCTCATCAATCTGGTCAGAGTTAAACAGTATTTCTACAAAACGAGGTCATCTAAAGGGCTATCTAATACAGGTAAGATTATGATTGTCTAAAGTCTTTCCACAGAACCCCACTCCAGTAGATCTGAACTATCACTTTAACCGTCCTTCAAATGAAGCAGGTCATCAAAGCTGAGCTGTGATCCTGATCTCTAGTTTTTATTAAGTTAATGCACCAGAACTTCCCGTTAGCTTCAGTGCAGCAGCTGCTGATACAGTGATGTGTTTCTGTCCCACTAAGCAGTCGGGGAAATGCTGTTTCTGGTCAAAAGTCCTCTCGTGGACTTTGCTCTGTGGATAAGTGAACCCACATTCAGCACTTTTCACGTTCTGGATGTCCTGAAGGCCCAACGAGCCTGCTGAACCCAGCTTGTTTTCTGTCAAACGTATCAAAATGTGTTTGATACTATCCAGCAGCTGGATGTTTTGAAGAAACCACAAAAAGTAAGGGTCACTACTCGACTTGAGAATGCTGATCTAACACAAATAGTATGGCAAGCCAATTTATCATATAATAAGTGGAAAGACTTCAGAAAACGCATCCATGATTTAGTTATTTCTGCACAAATAAGGAAATCAGGGATCGATTCAGTTATTTCACACTTTATTCTTTTAAGAACAAACAAAAGGGGGAGTGGTGGTGCAGCAGTTAGAGAAAGTGGGTCTGTGATCAGAAGGTCACCGGTTCAATTCCCTGAACCAACAACATCAAAAAAATGTGGGTGGGAAAGGTGAAACACCCGCACCAGCCTCCACCTTCATTTGCCCCACTCTGGGCCCTTGAGCAAGATCCTTAACCCCCACCATCTGCTCCACCAGGCACCCGAGCTGGCAGCTCTCTGCTCCACACAGAGGGCTGTGGTAGCTCAGTGGGCTGTGGTTGCATCAGGAAGAGCATCAGACGTAAAAACAATTGTCAAGTCTTCGAGGGTTTTTTTCTAAGAACACGTGGCTTTTCTCATTTTAGGCCTTCAGATTTCATCAACTACAATGAACATTAGAACCATTTTGGTCAAATCTTGTAAATTATGTTATGCCTGATCTCAATCATCTTTTTGAGATCTGTTAGCTCTGTGAACACGTGTGAGTGACTTAACTGTTGCAGCCATCTTGAATTTGATTGACTCCAAACATTACTGTAATTTCCAGAGTATTGAGCGCACCAGAATATAAGCCACACCCACTAAATTCAAAAGGGGGGGGGTGGGGTGGACATACATACATATATATATATATAGGCCACACTCGTCTATAAGCCATGGGTGTCCACATTATAACATGAGATTCAGAAAGGTTTTTTTAACTTGTAATTAAATATGTACTGGTCACAATTATGTACAGTAATTCTTTTTTTTTTTCTGAACAGTGCCAGTAACACGGCTGATAAAAAAAAAATGCAGTAGTCTACCAGAAAGTCATTGATTGGTATCTTCACCTTCCACCTGCCTGCCTTAGCCCATTATTTTATTTATTTATGTTTTAATCCATAAATTAGCCGCAGCATTGTATAAGCTGCCGTGTTCAAATCATGTGAAAAAGTAGCAGCTTATAGTCCAGAAATTACGGTAATCAGTTGTAGACATACATCCAACGATTACTTTCTGAGACGTTCATGAAAAGGTTCATGAGATATTTTGCTAACAGACAGCTAAATGTACACACCCAGACACAAGAAACTACATAATCACCCACCTTTCGAGGAAATAATCACCGCACATTATTGCGCCGAGTTCTTTAAAACTCATTCCTTGGTGCAAAAATGGCTCCAGACCACTTATCAATGTCTTCGTCATACACAGAGTGTCAGCTGCAGGCATGTTAATGGGCTGCTTCTGCTGTAAGGACAGCGTGTTTCCACTCAGATGCAGATTTGTTGGCTCAAATGCCAGATCGCTGAGCTCAAGGTGCTGGCACAAGCACGGCTTGTGTTTAGACTGGCATACATTAGCATTTTTTATTGCTGCGTATTTGTAGGAGCTGTGTGGAGAGGTGGAAAAAAAAAAAAAAAAAAAAGCAGTACGCCAGGAGGGGAGATAAAACTAACTGAGCACGCTCCAGAAGCCAAACACCAGCAAGGAGGTAAGAGGAGGCAGAAAGGAAGTGACAGCCCGTAGCTCCTTCCGCCTACTGACTCTTTAAATCTCACCATGATCTGAAGAGACGAAGGAGGCACAAGCAAACAATAGAAACTTAAGCATAATTTATACCGGCGACGCTCGGAACATGTGCTTTGATGAGCTGCCAGAGTTCTGTTCAGCTTTTCTTAGCGTGCTGTTTCATGTGTCCATATGTTTGTTTAGTTTTTTTTTTCTTGTCTATGTCGCCTTTTCTCATCCATTGATACCAGAGAGGGGGAGACGTGTCACGTCTCATGGATATAAAAGGAACATTTTTTTTTGTCATGTCACTTGTTTGAAAGCACTTTATCTCCTTTCAAATGTTGTCCGCTGCTTCGCCGAGCAGTTTGGAGACGCAAAATAAAAGTAGTGTGCAAACTGTCAAATAAACTTTTCAAGTGAATTAAGAGCAAATTGGTTTAAATACAAAAAATACTGTGCTTTTAAAAAATGATAGCAGAACTATATTTGTCTTGTATTTCCTCCTTCTGCATGTTAATGCAACCTAATTGTTACTTTTTCATTGTCTCAGTAAAATACAGACCTCAGTTTTGATATATATTGTATGTGATACTTTTTTTTACCATAATGAGCCATTTAAGTCCTCTAAATGCTTCAGTTTACTTTTAAGTGACAGTTTAGATCTTTTGAAGTGAAGTTATGTGGATACATTATGAAAAATTACAATCTTACCTGTTATAGATAGCTCTTTGAATGACCTCAGTTAAGAGAAATAGTTAATAAAATAGTTAAATAGATAATGGCCAGTCGTATTGATGCCAACCTAAAACAAAAGATCTTGAAAATGTTACGTGAACTCTAGCTGTAACATTCACATCTGTTTTACGTGACAAGGTTTTTATTTATTTTTATTTTTTTACATTTAATTTGTTGGTTATTTCCCAGCACATACTTCTGCAGCAAGCTGTAGCATTTCCCCTGGATTACCATAATATTTCTGCTACACAAACTTTGTAATGTAAAACTGGCAAAATGTGGACAAAATCATTTTTACCTGAGCCACCAGGACTTGTTTGAGACTGGAGTGTTAGCCTTAGCTACATTATGATTAGCCATTAGCTACATTATGATTAGCCATTAGCTACATTATGATTAGCCGTCAGCTACATTATGATTAGCCGTTAGCTACATTATGATTAGCCATTCGCTCGGCAATTACAACACAACTTATCCACATTTCTAGAGACTGATGTTCTTCAAAAAGCTATCTACAAGAAGTAAAAATATTAATTCTCCATAATCTTTTCAGTTATTGAAAGTGTTGGCTCCACTGTCGATGGATTGTATACACAGCGGCTAACGGCTAATCCCAAATGGGATAAAAACCACAGTGATTTGTTGCCATTTTAAAACAGTTTCAATCCCAAAAGTTTTATTGATTCACATTAACACTATTTTAGAAATTCTTAAATATAAGTCAGTTTCACAAGACAGGTTTATTTGCCGTATATGAAATTCTGTGGTTACAAGTGGAAATAGTAGCTGTAGCATTTAGCTGTTGGCTAACATCCACTCCATCCTGGAGACACTTCCAGTAAGAATATATTTTATTTTACCGTGAGAATAATGGCAACATTTGGGTTTATAAATTAGTTTTTGGAAGAATTGCTACAACATTTTTTTATTTGAAGTTGTTTTAAGATGGCAGCTTTTGGTCCGGGTTCCATTTAAGCTAGCCGTTAGCTTGTCAGTCCAGTCAAAATAAGCAGCTTCTTTCCAAATTGTGGTAATTCAACAAACTATTTCTAGCAAGTAAGATGTTAATTTTTCATAACTTTTTCTCAGAACCACACTTTATAAGATCTGAAGTATATTTTTAAATACCAATGAAATTGCTGCTAATTCTTTCTCTCCATGTTCACTCTGTGTCAGCCTGAATGACAACACTGCACAGTGAACTGTAATTTTCCAGTGGCCAAAAATGGAGGCATCTGTCTGCTGCTGCAGCGGAGATTAAAAGATTAATAATTCAACCACAGATCATGAATCATGTTCTTTTTTCTTTTCATCTCAAAAGATCACCGTCACCTTCCACTGGCCCCGTTTCTTCAAGTCTGTATTCAGTTTTTTTTCCGCTGAAAAGAAATGGACTTTCTGTGCCGTTTTCATACGAAGCATGAGGTCAGGGGAGCACTTTATTTCATTATTGACGTAATAACGGCGTCCCCACGGAGTAATCACGGTTAACACAGACATGTAAGACACATCGGTGAGTGCTTAAGGACTGTGTGGGTCCATGTCTGTCAGGGGGTCAAGGTCAATCCAATTCCACTGGAGTGATGCAATTACAATTCATTGAAAACTAATTGATTCGTTCATAATTTATTGTCTGTAATGGTAATTTGACACTTTGACCTGAAAATCTGAAAGAGAAAAAAACTAATTTCTGGTCATTGTCAGTTAATTTATTTAGCTTTTTTTTTTTTTTTTTTTTACTTTTTGAAATTAAAAAAAGGTTAACAGTGTACAGTATTTTGGATACCAGTATCATCATAATGGTGGTAATTATTGCCCAAAAGTGAAGCTACAAAAATATGTTTGTTTGTATGTGGGTGTTTTTTTAGCAAAATATCTCTTGAAGCACTAGATGGACCAACATGGATGTAGGTGGATGACTGTCCAAGTAGAGTCAACCCTATTCAAAATGGCCACCGCAGCTAAATGACCTTATCAAACATACAAATAGCCTCAATTCAGACAATTTCACAGCTCTTGACCTGAAATGGTAAAGAGCCATTCCTAATTTTAATACTTTCCTCCTCAATCCCAGACAGGCGCTCCTCCTTCACTTTTTTTATTGAGACAAATGAAAACAGACAAGGGAGAGAAGTTAAGCTTGTGGGGAGGGGCGTGTGCCCACTTGACAAAACCTATGGTACAGCCTTGATGATGTACGTCATTAAATACGGCATATGTGATGACGTCACTCATTCCAACTTAAACAGCTCTTTTGAACAGCTCTATTAAGTAAACAAATCGTCAAGATCCAGGTCCCTTGAAAAAGCTGTTTGTCCCATCTTGTGGTAGTAGCTGAGAATCATTCCCAACACATACTATGAGCACAAACTCGTCTATTTTTAAAAGCTTTGCCAGTAACAATTGGAGTCAGTTGTGTCTGTTAGCAAAATAGCCCTTAAAACTGTGGACGGATTTACTTGGACGTAGGTAAATGATAGTGAGTTGAGTCAAATTGATTCAAGATGGCCACCACAGCTAACAGAAATGAGCCAGTATTAAAATAGATGTAATTTTGGCAATTTTACAGACACCAACATTGCTTCAAAACTTGCATTTTGGAAATCAATATGCATCCATTTAAGTAATGATTATCCTTTAATTCTGTGGTTCCCAACCCTAGTCCTTGAGGAACACCAATACTGCATGTTTTAGTTGTTTGTGATTTAATTCTAAAGAAGCGTGTTAATCACTCATTCATTCAAATCAGGTGTGTCAAAGCAGGGAAACAGCTATAACATGCAGGATGGTGTTCCTCAAGGACCAGGGTTGGAGCCACTGTTTTAATTGACAGTAGGAGTCCAGTTTCCTTCAGATTCTCCCTGATTTTCATAGTTCTTTAGGCTCCTTTCAGCCACTGTTATGAAGCGCCGATTTCTCTGTGTCACTCCAGCCTTGATGCATAACCCTGAGCAGGAGTATGAAGCCATAACCTCAAATCTCCACACTCAAGTTTTTCGGCTCACACTCCTCTCGTCCCGTCCCTCACTTCACATCTCCTTCACCTCTCGCTCCGTCTCTTTCGTTGCAGTTGCTGGCTTCGCCTGGACACCTACTTCATCTGGAGTTTCATAGGACCAGCAACCTTGATAATTATGGTAAGCTCCCTTCTCCTGCACCCCCTACACATACACACACACACACACACACACTTCTGCTCATTAACCCTGCTTAGCCCGTAGGTCGTCGCTTAAATGGTCCATAGAGAAGCTCCCCTTTTTTCCTGGTTCCTCTCTCCCTCTTGTCTCTGCCCTGTTGAGCACATATGCCACCGCGAGGCATGGAGAGGTTCAGAAAAAAAAAAAAAAAAAAACACGAATGAGGGGTGTAGAGAATATATTGTAGCTTGTCACCCTTGCTGCAGTGACAATGTTGGAAGGGAGGGGGGAGAATGGGGAAGCAGGAAGCTAGTAACAGAGAGCTAGATGGAGCAAACTCTGCTCAGTATGCAGCGTTGGAGTAATCCGCACCGCGATTATGATTGATTTTATTCCTGTTCCAACCCGTGCGTACTCCACTACCTCGTTCCTCATCTTCCCCTCGCAGGCACACCCTCGGCTCTGGGTGCAGATACACATGAATTATGCAGGCTAGGCACACTCTTTGTGCTTCAACCGACTAGAAGAGCATTTGTTTTTATATAAAAGAGCAAATATTGATCCAGATTTCATGTTAGACCGCTGTCCGATTGAAACTTTTACTGATGCCTCTCACCATGGGAATAATTATTGTGTACTGACACTAACTTGAGCTTGTCTCTGACTACAAATAAGTAGAGTGTGCCCCTCTAATGTGATTATTCAGTGATAATTTGTGTCTAACTGCCCAGCAGTGATGAGTTTGCCACTTCCAATCATGCATAATGCACTTTCTCAACCCAGTTAGAAGTAATATTTCACAGTGTTACTTTTCTGTGTCTTATCACTTCATTTTTCTTCAGTTAACAAACAAGAGTATTTACAGCACGGTGCAGAAGTTTTAAACAACATTATTTCTTCATTTTTGTTACCAAGAAGCCATACATTCAGGAAAACATTTGAATTGGATTATTAATTTGTCGGGCTTCATAATGGTTCTTTTATTTATTTGTTTGTTTGCTTGTTTATTTATTTATTTATTTTATCTTTTTTTTGTCTTTGTTTTCTATCATTTCCTGTCCAGTGTTCATGTGGCAGCATATGGAAATGAGAAAAGTGCAAAAAAAGGATAAAAGTAAAATTGTCCGGTCTAACTAATCGTACCGCAGATTAACAATGAGAGTCTTTTTAAAAAAACAGAGACGAACACAGGACGAGAATGAGGCAGTTGGTAATCAACTGTAAACTAAAGTAAAGTAAAGTGCTATGTGTTGTCATCTTTATGTTTCCATACAATGATAAAATTAGTTTTCTGCATTTAACCCATCACACCTGAGATACACCCAGGTGGAGCAGTGAGCAGCTATGTAAGCGCCCGGGGAGCAGTTAGTGATTAGGTTTCTTGCTCAAGGACACCACGACATTTGGGAAAGGCGGGAAGTTGAACCTGTGACTTTCTGGTCCCCAGTCGGCTGCCCTACCTCTACACCTTCTCAGGCCCCTGTATGATGTGTTTATACCTAACAGCTGTTTTTACCTGTGACTGTGTTGATACTAAAATGTTATTTTATGTTTGTCAACTTGTGATATCTTTAGTATTTCTCTTATATCCAACCAAAAAGTGGGAACAATTTGTTGTGACCATCTACTTGAAACAAAGCTATGAGCTAATGATGCTAGCTTGTTAGCTAGTAACTAATATTAGCCAGTTAATGGTTTTCTTTTTTTTTTACTTGCTAGCTAATCTTCGCTGGAAAATTCATAGCTTGCAAAACACTTTTGCTAGTTATTAGCGAATGTTAGCTAACTAGGTAGCAGAGGTGTTGCTAGACATAGAGCCAAACTGAGGCACAGCACAGCAACAAGTCACTTCATAAAACAGCCCAAATCCCACTTACTTTCTAAGTACTCACATATGTACTTTGTAGGTACCCTAATATATTCCCTGTAGTTACCCTTTATTTATTATGTTAGTGCCCCCTCATAAGTATTCTGTAATTACTTCACATGTAGCCTATAAGTACCAGTAACTACCCTGTAAGTATCCTGTATTTACCGCTGTAAGTACTCCCAAAAGTACCCTATAAGTACACAGTGTGCCCACCATAAGTACTAGATAAGTACCTTGTTTTGGCACATTGATATATTCTTCTGGGAGACTGTATAGGGTTTTCATCTAAAAAGCCTTCAGGGAAAAAAAAAGAGGACGATTCTAGTTTTTTAAACATTTCATCACAGAATGGGACGTTTGTGGGAGTTTTTCCTTTCCACTGTTGCCTTCGTGCTTGACGAGAGTCTGTGATGAAGTTAAACTCAAAGCAGTCTGCTCCTCAGATAAAAACTGTTAACTTACTTTTTATGAATATAAATGTTTCTGTACAGTACTCTGAGATGACTTCTGTTGTGACTTGGTGCTATTTAAATAAACTGAACTGAAATGAATAGAATTCTGCGTGCCGCTATGCTGGTGTATTTACTTTTTGCTTTGTAAATTTGTATGAAAGTGTAAAAAAAAATATCACCGGGGCACCTCAGATTCATTCTGCAGCACATGCTCCTGTAAAATGAGTGTAAAGGTTGGAACTAAATCTTAAGCTAACTGTTAACTAAATGGATTATAACAATAAAATATTGTGCCAATTGAAAAGGAAGAGGAATCTGTAGACACAACACTTGTCCTTCCATTGAGTTTAGGAACGTTTTTTAATTTTGACTAAATCATACGTCGTAGAGAAGTGATTTAACAATAAACTGAAAATGCTCTGAAGACATTCAAGGTACAGGACTGAAAATGGTGAGGACAAAACATAAAACTCAAAGAAATCCTGGAAAGCTTTTAAAAACCGGCATAATTCTTGGAGACATACATACTACTATTACTGCTATTACTACCACTTAAAAATATCATTAAAGGTTGGATCCTTGGAACAGAAATATAAAAGAAAAGGACTTTTGTACATTGCAGCTTCTATCCCTTGAGAATTTGATGTAACCGATGCTACATCTCAGTGCTATAATATTAATTTAGTTTTAGTTTTTCTTCCCCCATGTTGTTTGTGTCACAAACACAGCAGCAGAGTTCATCACGTCAGGCTAATTGCGGCTGTCCTTCTGAACTCTGTGCCTCTTGCTGTGACCGGAATTGACTCATTTTCTATTTAAATGATCATCAGCTCACAAAGAAGAAAACAATAAATGGCTGGGATGCACCAGAGTGGTTCGGTTTAATAAACACATTGTTCGATTTTTCTTTACTGATATTTCCACAGTCGAATATAAAACTACTTATTTCCTGACTAATCAAAACGTTTGTCAAACATAGAAGCAAAAGTTCCTTTGAAACAGAACCTTATGTGTTTGTCAAGTTTGATTAGTTTGAATTTTTTAATGTCAAGTTTATACATCAATATAAAGAACTTGAGAAACTGCATATCCTGCAATAATGCAGTGTGTAAATGATTATTGCAGAACTTGCTGAGAAGCAGCTGAAATTAGCTTAAAAAATGCTGAAATACAGCAGAAATGAAAGAACAAGCCTAATAAATTAGTAGCAGAAAGCAGAAAGAACACATATTTGCTGAATTAGGTTTACAGTAAATAAGCAGAAATTATCAAAAATTTGTGAAATTTGCTAAAAGTCTGAAATCACCTAAAAGTAGCTGAAAATGCAAAAAGAAGCTTAAACTAAGAGAAGGAAGCAAAATGAGCTGAAATGAGCCCCAAAAATGTGGAATTAGCTGACAAAAATTAAATTAACATAAAAACAGCTAAATAGTAGCTAAAATAGCAGAAATGGCTGAAAGTAGCAGAAATAACTTGAAAGGAGCACAACTAGCTTAAATTGGCATAGAAAAGTTAATTAGGCTGAAAGTAGCAGAAATGACCACAAACACCTTTAATTTATCTGAAAACGGCTGAAATTAGCTAAAAAATGCTCAAACAATAGCTGAAAAGGTAGAACAAGCTTAAGTTAGTGTAATAAATCAGAAAGAACATGTTTGCCCAATTAGCCTGAAAAAAGTTGAAAATAAAAACATCAGTAAGAAGCTTAAATTTTCAGAAGGAAGTGGAGAGAGCACATTTTTGCTAAATGAGTCTGAAATAAGTTGAAATGAGTGTAAAAAATGTGGAATTAGCCGAAAAAGCAAAAATTAGCATAAAATGGCTAAGTAGTAGCTGAAATTGTTGAAAAGGCTAAAACTTGCATAAATAAGCTGAAATTAGCAGAAAGAAGTTAGCAGAATTGCAAAAATGTTGTAGTTAAGAATCTAAAAGGAGCACAAAATAGCATAGCTGAAAAAAAAAGTTTAAATTTGCACAGGGAAGCTGAAAGAAGCTGAAGCAGAACAAAATGTGAAAGGAGCAGTAAAAGGTTGTAAACAGAACTAAAGATTTGAAGGATGTAAATCAATCAACCTTTATTTATACAGGTAAATCCCATTGAGCCTCGAGCTAAAATGAGCTCAATTCATTTTCTATGAGGAAATAAAGATAGAAAAGGCTAAATATTTCAAAAAGCTAAAGTTACACCAATGCCACAAGTCATTGCACCCTTCTCCTGAACGAGCTGAACGTTTTGTTATGTGATGTGTTGAAATAGCACAAATTGTGGAATGAGAAAGATGCCGAAAAACGTACGGAAGAAAACTGGATCTCAATAGTGTGAACGCTTCGCAAACATTCACACAATCGTTTCTGTTCGGCATGAGGTGGTGGTTGTTGCTAGTCAAATGGCAGAAGTTAAAATGTACATGTGGACATTTTTAAGTGGAATTTTCACAAATTTTCGTTGAAACTCTCAGAAGGAACGCCTCCACAGCCACAGTAATTCCCTGCGGTTGAAGCTAAGTGTGAATATAATGAGACAAATGACAGAAAGACTCCAGCATACACGTGTGCAGCTGTCTTGTACCTCCGGTCCTTGTGCGGTACATTTTATGTCCACGGAGAGTTTCATGGGATTTTGCACTGTGTTTGGCAGAGCGGGGAAACCGCAGTTCCTTCTTTGTACGACAAAGCATCCTGGTTTAAACCAAACTGAACTGAAACGTGAAACTTCATACTGTCCCTCTCTGCTTCGCAGCTCAACGTGATCTTCCTGGGCATCGCGCTCTACAAGATGTTCCATCACACGGCCATTCTGAAGCCGGACTCCGGTTGCCTGGACAACATCAAGTAAGAACGCTCAGATCACCCAGATATCCATTAAAGTGGGAACAGCGCCCGCCGCATGTGACTCTTTGTTGCAGCCTGAAAGAATGCGCACGCGGGGGGCGTGCTTCAGCCAAACGCACTCCGACAGCTGAATTGTATCAAGCACGAGTCACCATGAGCTGACCTTCCCCGCTGTTTTCTTCCCTTTAATGAACCTCCGGTTAAAGACCAACTCGTGGATGGCACGCTGCATTCAGGACCTTGTTTCCGAGCGGTATCATTTATTTCCTGCCTCCCCTTGATATTCTGCAGCGTTATTAAAACCACTTAAGTTGCAAATGTCCAGCCCGAGAGCACGAGAGCGTAAACCTGCAGGGTAAGCACCTCTCATTGTGCTGAAAGGTTGTGTCGGTGCAGGTTGGAATCTAACAGGTTTTCTGTTGCGTCTCCATCATTATCTACATCCAGCACCGTTGTCTGCTCGGGGAAAGGCCAGGAGACAATCTGACACACCTAACCTAATCTTGGCGTCAACATGCCTCTGATGAATATTCATTAGGTGTGTGTGTTATGTGGTTTAGATAATGTGAACACTTCAGGGACAAGAAGACAAACTTTCCTTGGTGTTTTAAAGATTAGCAAGTAAAACTTTTAGTACTCTAAAAGGATGATGCCATTGTTGTAAAAGTTACTGAGGTGTCATATTATTGTGAATTTAGGCAAGATGTCTGGTGTTCTTTTGAAGGAATACCTCAGATCTTTCAGAAAGGGGTTATATGAAGATGTTATGAGCAGTTAAGATCTTACCTGTTGTAAATAAAGTTTAAAATCTGACCAGACAAGCTAACGGCTAGTCTTAGTAAGGCCAAGACCAATCATCTGCAACTCCAATC